AGATGTAGAGGTTCATGCTTTTCAGTTGTGGCACCCATTGCTGAGTCTTCTTCAATCTTAAGTTGAAGTTAGCGGATTATATAATGATATTTTCAAGGCAAACTAGCCTCAAAATGTGCACTTGCAACCACTATCGACATGATAATTATGAAAATAGCGTACCCAGTACAGAACGGGATATTTGCGGTATGAGAGCCAATTATCGACGGATAAAGAGCAGGAAATGTAAATCGACCACAGCACTCCCAAACCTTGTCCTATAAAGGTTTTAAAATAATGGCATGATGAAGGATTTTTGCTAGCAGTAAACGATAACAATGAAGACGAACAATTAGAGAATGAACAATTGGAGGTCAGGCGCCGAGATGTGGCAGGACTCGTCAAAGCGAAAATTGGTCGCTGACCTAATTCTTTCTTTTACATCTTCTAGTATTGTTGGAATTTACTGCGTCACGACACGAAAGGAAAGGATTAGTAACATGGTTTACTTTTGAGAGCGAATCGCGCTTAATTTATGAATGATTTCAGCCCAACAACGATAATATGGTTAGTGTCAGAAAATGAAGTGAATGTTGGGATTCTTCTGCAAGTAGCGGTAAATTGTTTGATTAACAAGAAGAGTAGATCTGAGGACAGTGGAGATAGAGTGCTGTATGCTTTTAATAAGAAAATAACTAAGGACGACTAAATTCAGATTAAAGTTTTAGTTTGCCGAGTTGTTAAATGCTATAAGCTCAATGTTTCCCAACAAAAAATTCCAAAATCACTATTTAAACCTCTTCCAAATAATGTTTTATTCTTTGATTTTTGTATTTTCCACTCTACACTTTGCATAGTCCAGATGGATAACAGATGGCAACAAAGCTCGAAAAACGCTTGTAGAGAAAGTTCACTTCTTATGCTAATTCTATGGCACTTTTTTGCCTAACGGAATTAGGGGAAGTACCTCTGCTCACGATCTATAAAGAAACAAGGAAGGAGAAGTAGAAGTGCTAAAATTACGAGGAAATTTTGAGTTTTGGTGGCTTCCATGTGCCGTCCACGTGGCCCTATTTTC